CTCAGCCTACTGCAACCTCCTCTTCCTGGGTTCAGGTGATTATTCAGCCTCAGCCTCCTAAGTAGCTGAGACTGCAGGCATGTGCCACCATGCCCAGCTAATTTCTTTGTACTTATAGTAGAGACACACTTTCACCCTGTCTTTCAGGAGATCAGGATGGTCCCGATCTCCTGACCTCATGAAGTGCTCACCTCGGCCTTTGAGAGTGCTGAGATGACAGGCGTGAGCCACCATGCCTGGCTCACAGATTCTTTTATGTTTGTTTTTGTCTTTTTTTATTCAGTCTCCCTAGAGACTGTCAAAAATTGTCAATACCGACTCTATTGCATGTCATCACGGCGGGGTATTGGGAAAAGTTTTCAATTAGCAATAATCTCATCTCAGATGAAACTCATTGGCTCTGATACTGGCACTGAGCAAAGCTCACAGATTCTTTTTAAAGCAAATGCTGTTAGAATTTACATATCAGTCCAGTTTCATGTATAGATGCCTCTAACCTTTCAATGGACCTTGGCACCTGGTGAGATAAGTCAGTATTGCAGCAACACTCCCAGAAAAGAGTTTGACTCATTTTTGGAGATTTTCTGGGAAAAAATTTGGTTTAACTTTGCATGGACTCAGACAGAGAATATGGTATGATGGTCTACCCATAGAGGGAGATTTTGGCCTGTGTGTCTGGAAAGCAGGCTCACCTACTCACCAGGCTTCATCTAGGGCACCCTGGAATAGTCCTGTCAGAATTTGTATTCTTGCCCTGAGAATATTTCTGTGCTTCTGCTATGACTAAATACTGATTTGGTCATATGTGAAGTGTGATTTGCTTAATGTGACCTGCGTCTCTGAATTTATTTACAGAAAGTCAAAGTGATGAAGAGGAAGAGGAAGAAAGAGGGCCAGTGCCCCCCAGGTAATGCTGTGGACTTGTGGGCTGTTAGTTCAATAGTGACATCTGGAGACTGTAGATCCAGGGAAAACGAGGAAGTGATGACTAGAACTCTTTCTTCCATTCACCCAGCTACAAATTGTCCTTATTAACAATGTTGTGGGTGATTGGTGGCACTTGTATAGGCTTTAATTTCTCACTCCTCCCAAGATGGGAACCTGCAATCAGATGAGCCAGGTGAACTCAGCAAACAGGGATTTCCTGGTTTTGCCTGTTCTCCCCACTGTGTTTAAACCCAGGAAGAGACACATATATGCTTTCTGCCCATTTGTTGTGAGCATGTTTGCTAGGATTTGTGAAGAGAAGGAATTCAAAACATAGACATATGTTATCAAAATACTGGAAAAGGGCGGCCCTTAATACACAAGATCTGGGTGTCTGAAATGCTTCAGGAGCTCTGTTCACTTGAATGCTGCATGTAAACTTCAACACAACTTATGTGAGGCAGTTGAAGCCCCATGTTAGTTCTTGTGCTGCAAGTCATGATGATAGTTTACAGGGAGAGTCGGTGGCCTGCAGTGTCTCATCTCTGGCAAATGCACTGAGCACATGCTGCTCATTTGTGCTCTGTCCCCAGGGTAGTCACCCTCCACCCTGCATTTAGAAAGGATAGTTTTTTTTTTCTCTTGAAGGAAAAATGCCTTTGCTTTCTGTGACCATTCCATTCTGACTTCCATCAGATCAGCTGGGAGATGTTTTTGTCTAATCTTTTGGTTTCATCTTCTGTCATCCCTGTCCTGCCTGGCTCATAAGGAATCTGCAGGAGTCTGTGGAGGAGGAAGCCCCCCGGAGTCCTGGGATGGTTATTCGACTCTCTCAGTTCCTCCTGGCACATCTGCCTTCAATGAGTCTTACAGGAGCAACATGCACTCATTAAAGGAGCAGCAAGTCAACTTGGCTGTGGACATAGGCAGTGAGTACTCCATTGTGAAGTTGATAAAGCTCCAATTTGTGTCCCAGATAGACTCCATAGACTTCGGGCCTTACTCCACTGGCCAGGCTGAGAGTTGTCATCACTGTGGGCTGAAACTGTCCATCAGGGTAGATGTCAATCACTCTGGATTCCAGTCTGAAGCATGGGCATGCGGTGGGTCAGTGAGCTTTGCTCTCTCTCTAGTCTCAGGCCGTGCCCGTGGCACCCTGGACCGACTTTCAGGACACTGAAACCCAACGCAGGTGTTGCCAACTCACACCAAGCAGTGCAGCGCATGTCCATGAGTTGTCTCAATCTGAATTAAAAGTCTCTTGCCAGCTACCACGTTCCTCAGGGGTTTTGTTCCCCATGCATGTCTGTGAGGTTCTTTCCTGTTTGTACAAACTTGGGATAAAGGGATAATGGTCTGCCAGAATAGGGACGTTTCACCATTGGTTCTGAGACACAAACCAAGGAATCTCTATCATGATTGGCCTTGAGACCTCCTAAGTCTGTCTCTCACATTATCCTGTTCTCGTGCTGAGGAGCCTGAGGTCCCTGTGCAGGGATTAGACAGTGAACTGTTATGGGTGTAGGGTAATGGCTTATTTTGTCTGTCCCTATCTGAATTTATTGCAAAGATTAAAAAGAACCAAGAAGAGGAAGAAGACCAAGGTCCCCTGTTCCCCAGGTAACTTTGAGCAATTGTGAACAGCTAATGTTGTGTTGACACCTGGAGACGCCAGGTCCAGGGAAAACAGAGTGGGCTGACAATATCGATACCATCTTTTCAATGAAGCCTGAATTATTCCTACTAACATTGCTGTTGGTTTTCATTGCAGTAGATATTTAGGTTTCCATTTCTTCCTCCCCTTACCATTTACTAACTACTGTAGTTTGACCCTATTTGTTTTTATGATCAGTGTACACTGTGTGTCCTGAGGGCACTAACTCAGAGTATGCTTTTACTCCCTCATCAGTGTGTCACCTGGACGGTTCACTGAGCTTACTTTCTCTCTGTCTTTTTCATTCTTTTTAACCTACTCTTGTCCATCCCAGCATAAGGCAATAATTTGTTGCATTATTAATGGATCTATGTTTTTTCTTTGTTAACCACTTTCTGGTGCTACCCATGAAATCTAGTTGGGGTGCTGCAGTGTCTTTTTTTCCCTGACTTATTCTTTGGTTTTTTCCATTTTTTTTTTTTTTTTTTAGGCTCAGCATGGAGCTGGTGGAAGCAGAAGAGCCTGAAGTTTTCTGGTACTCACTGGATATATTGTGTTCAACATATACAGTGTATCTTGGGTTTTATTACACATGCCAGGCTTACACATGTGCCATTTTTTTTATTTGTAGAAGAGCATGTTCGCTTGACTTTGGACATGGACAATAGGTTGCTTACTATGACGGTGATAAGACTCCACCTGGTCTCCCGGATAGGGGTCATATTCCCACACTAAGACAACATGTCACATGGGACTCTGCCAGTGCAGAGTATGAACAACACCATGTTCTTGCTGAAAACGCTTAACCTAACTTTCATAGCCTGAGGTAATCTCCAGACAACTTCAGAATGTAGAACAGTGAACAGCACTACTGACCTGTCTCCTTCAGACAGCCCATGTCACCACAAATCACACAACTAAAAGGAGAAGAGACATTTTGGGTTGAAAAAGAGTAAAAAGATAAT